ATTTGCCCCAACAAATCTTTTTATACCATTTCATCTCAAAACTTTTTTAACTATCATTTTCCCTTTCCACTTATTAAAATAGTTTTTGGGTTAAAATCATATAAAAGATTTGTTGAGGCTAATTTTTATGACCAAAAGTTAATAAAATAGGGAGATAAGAGATGAGGGGGTATGGTGATATCTTTAGACGTTATTTTTTGCCGCTTGAAAGAAAAACAGAATGAGGGTCTACCATGAAATAATACGACGAATTAGGGTTTCATACGAAATTTTTCCTTAAGTATATTCATGGGAATAAGTAATATTTAATTCAAACACTGATAAGTAATTGATAAATCAAACCAAAACTCCTAATTTTTCACTACAATAATTCAAAGTTAAATCCTGAAATTTTATTCTAAACCTAATATCCAAGTATATAGGGATCTAAAATTGCTAAAAATTCTACAATAAAAATTGATTTCTCTATCAATTATTAGCCACATTTACCCAATTATTCATACCATCCAACAAAAAGAAAAAAATAGTGAGCCCCTTTTTCCCAATAAAAGATTAATGTCACAAATTATTCAAGTCCAAGAATATAATACATCAAAGTAAATCTCCTAGATTAGATGTTCAAAATCCCTATTAAAATAATGTATAAAAAGAATTATATAAAAGAATCAAAAGCGACGGTAAAACTCTAATTTCTTAAGCAATAACAAAAATCACACATCGTATGACAACACATGACATCATGAATTTTCTTCTTCTCCTTAAGCACCTACATGTTTTCTCTTCTTCTATGATGAAGAAAAAGGTAGCAGACGAGCTTTCTCGCCATGGCCTCTTACTCTCTAAAAACTCCCGGTGGCAGTAGATCACTTTTCAAAATTCATAATGTATGTATGTGCATGTGATCTAAACTTAAGAAAAAGAAGAAAAGCCTTCTTCCATGATCAAAACCTTAACTTGTACATCAATGGATTAGAAATATCACGTGTCTAACCCACAAAAATATTCAGCAAAGAAGAAGAGAAATCATGCAAGTACTTATTTGTTCTTATTAAGGGCTTTTGAAGTTGCAATTGAAACATAAAGGCACAACTAACAAACCAATTCAGAACAAAGAGAATAAGAATTATAAGAACCAAATAAAAGACATAAAATCGAAACAAAAGAGAACCCATCAATTCTTAACTGTTTTACCTCGTTTATGCACATGATGCCTCATATATCAAGCAAAAACTTCTTCAATCCTGAAAAAAATACATAAACATGAACAACAAGAAAAACGAGGACACCAGATCATTACCAAGGCAGAATGTTAGAGTTAAAACAACTCTAACATATCAAGAGAGAGAGAGAGAGAGAGAGAGAGTTAAAAAGAAAACAAACCTCACATGCCTCTAGATTGAGAAGCTCAATCCATTAAGAGCTCAAAGAAGAGGCCAAAAAGACCAAAGGTTTGGCGCCTAGATGACATTGATATAAATTGTTCTCTAATTTTCTAACTTTCTATCTCTCTCTCCCCTTAAACCACACGCCTCTCTCTAAATTTCTTGTCCGCTAATTTTAACTATCTAACTCTCTCTTTCTTCCATTAAACCATGTACCTCTCTTTCTAAATTTCAAACTTCTAACTTTCTATCTCTCTCTTTCTTCCTTTAAACCATGCATCTCTCTTTTTAAATTTCAAACTTCTACATATCATCTCAATAATTTTTAACCAAAAATGAAACTTCTTATCTTTCTCTCTAACACACCTCTCCTCTCTCTCTCTCTCTTTCTAACTTTGTATATATCATCTCTTTCTAAAAATATATATATTATGTAGAGATAGAGACGCATGAGAGAGAGAATTTTAGTTTTTAAGAAAGAGCAAAAGAGAGATAGAGTAGGAGTCACATAAATATGGGTGGAGAGACTTAAGGAAAGAGAGAGATTGATTATGAGGAAGAGATTTGAAGAAAGAGGTAAAGAGAGAGAGAATGGAAAAGAATAAATATGTGGGGAGAGATTTAAGGAAAGAGAGATCTGATTATGGATGAGAGATTTAAAAAAAGAAGAATATGGAATTGGAGAGAGAGAATGGAAAGAGAGGGCAATTATGAGAAACAAATGACATATGGCGCAAAAATAGCGAGGGTGTTCTTCTCGCTTAATAAATAATAATAGATAGACAGAATGATAAATATCTAAAAAAAAAGTTACTATAATAATAGTCCAATAAACAAATACAAAATCCATAACGACATAGCGGACATTGCACAAAAGTTCTTGAAAAGTGAGCAATAACCATTTACTAAAACAAAGGTTTCAACAAAGGAAAAAGTTTATAT